ACACAAAGTAGTTCCTACCCAGAATATGCCTGTTCGCAGCTAAAGTGTTCGCACGTGACAGCGAAACAGTAATTTTCTGTTTTATTAAAAACATGAACGGTATTAAAAAACATGAACAGATTTTGAAAGAATTAAAGTGAGTTTTGATTGTGGTAATATACTGGATTTCCTGCATTTAGCAGAATTTTGTGTTGCATTTTACGAAAAAAAAAACAACTCGCCCGACCTAGAAAAATTAAAATGGGTGGACGCTAAACAAGTAATTTTTTTATGTGGCCTAGTGGTGTGTAGGTGGTGTATGAGGGAGCCTTAAGTGCCCACTCTCCTCAGCAGTCTGCAATGCTACTACCCCCATTAGGTGTGCACCCCCCCCCTGTTGTAAGTACTGATAGATATTAAAGAGCAGTGTGGGAAAATGTCTGGCAGTGCCAGCAGCATTGCTGCCAGGAAATTTTTAACAAAATATCTTTGCAGTAAATTTTCTTGGGCCAAATAAAAATTAATAGTTGGTTTCAGGTTTCACAGTCATGTTTTGTATGGGTAGGTAGGTCGGAAAAATATTTTATTTAAAAAAATATTTTATCTCAAGTATGCAATAAATATAAGTTCATGTTTATGAGTAACTGTCACGCGTGATCAAACATGCCACGCGGGATCACCCACGAGCTACTTGTGTTTCGCGAGAAACAAACGCATCAAGCCATCAAGGCCACAGAATAATCAAGGCGTTTTCTTCTTTTTTTCAGCTATATATAGCTGCCATGTTAGAATAATGTATGTTTTTAATATTTTATTCAACTGTTCTTTCTGTAAAACTATGATTAACATGACTAGATAATGATTAAATTATGAGCAAACTGAAATAATTTGTAGACAAATGAGTCTGATGACTATTTATATATTCTGCTATTTACGAAAAGATGATCTCTACTGGGAAATGTCAATAAAATGTTTATGGTCGGTCATATTTTTGACAGGTCGGTTGGAAACCTGAAACCAACTATTATTTTATTTGGCCTTACCCTTGCTGGAAATGTTTGTCATCTTATATACTGGAATGGCATATAATTTACTTATTGTTTACAAATTAAAGGTGGCTCAATACAGTTTTCAAAAATGCAGGTGATCAACACTTTGACATGTTCAAACTACGCATTTTTAGGATTTATTCGGCAGATATTGGGTTTTTTATATATTTTGATAACTCTACTTTCAAATTATATTCGTTTTAGTAACAGATAGTCTGTTGCTATGATGACTTACGTGTATGAAATTTACTCCAAAATGGCCTATTGTCTTGTATGGTTGGAAAAGAAGCATGGTGACCCCCATTTTTTTTCTTGCATTATTTTACTTCGAGGAAATGCTAACAATTAGCAAAATATAAAAAAGTCTGTAATGCCATTTTTTTGGAAAATGCGAAAATGTCATATTCTTCGGTAAATTTTTTTTGGCATTACAGAATTTTTTATTTTTTGTATAATGAAAGTTTTTAGCAGTGCAATACAGCATGCAAAATTTGAACATAGGTCATCAGACAAAATAAAGAGATATAACGCATTGTTTTTCTAAAATGGAAAATTCTAATGACGTCAGCAATTGACATAAAACGCTATAGAACACGCGCAATGGCGTGAGATGGCACGAGCAACTGCTCACGTCAGGTCATTTTGGAAGTTCTTTCATTTTGTTAATCGGTTTCCGTGACCTGCGCGTAAGAATGGTCACCCGGTTTTGAGTTCGCGATTCTTGAGCAGGGTTTTTGTGATAACTATATCAAGCCACCTTAAAGTATTTTCCAAGTCGAGATTGTCTTGTGCCAATATTGAAATCAATACCTTACATTTGCACGAAGTTTTATATTTAACTTACACAGGAAATTTTGATTTTTTGATTTTGCTGCCGGGAAGGGAAATATATTTTCTAGGCCTGGATTTAAGAATTTTACTTGACAACCATTTGTAGTGATGGGTGATGATGAGTACTTGCGATTCCATACCCGCATTACCACAAACAGCAGGATTATAATATGCATTAATTGATTACTGATGGGGTATTGCCTGATACTTGCACCATCAAAGTTCTGTATTCCTACAAAAAGCACACAAAAAATAGAATACAATCATATCAATGCACTTACTACTTGGTATAATTATCAGAAACATGAAACACTGTTTATGATTGAGTATGCTCAGCTTCATTGTAATATATTCTACAGTACCTCAACAAAATTTACATATTGGATTATTTCAGACATCCATATGTACATTGTTCACAGAGAAAATTAGAAGTTAACCCCTACCCTCCGTGGATACATTGTCTTACTATTATCTGAGACACAAAGTTTTCTCACCCCTCCCTCCGGACGGCGGAAATTTTGCCTTGGGGACAGGATTGATCTTGAGGCAAAATTTGTTTAATTACTATCCCAAGGTATACTGAGCTTCATTAGTCAACTATCCAAATTTAAAATGTGGAATGCTGTGAATCAGTTTGAGGTACTGCAAATTTCAAACCCTGTTACAGTGTACTGTAAGTGTGAAAATGAGAAGAACCTTACGAGCTGTTCTTGATTTAAGCTATTTCTCTTTTAGTACGTGTACAATAACAGATTGAATGCACTGAATTTCTGCAACACAAATTAACGTGACATATTAATTGAGGTGGATTTCTCAATGCATTGAACGCCAGCGGTTTGCCTTTGACTAGTAAAATCGTCTGGCAGTAGACAGAGTATAATAATAAAGTACAGGTGTCAACACTGAATGAAAGAGATTGCCAAAGCAAGTTTTTTCATTGACAGTGAACCACTTACAGCAGATTAAGAGCTTTAGAGCGCTGCACCGGAATCACAGGGCTGCAGGTTTGATTCTTGCCAGAGGGACGATAGTAATTTTTTTGCAATGGCTCCTGGTTAGGTTTAATAAACTGCATAAGAATTCGACTCTAAATTTCATTTACAAATCTCTTCAACAATTATTATATATCGAGTGAGATGCCCAAAACCCTGATATCTACTGTACCTCGTAAGTTACTGGACTGCTTGTTTCTATAAGAATATTGAATCCTAGCTGAGAAGATTGTTTTGAATTTCCCTTTTAAGATATCTGAGGTCTCAAAACCATGGATATTCTCCATCAAGTAGCAAATGGCTGCAACTCATGAAGAACTGATTACTCATCAAGATCTAAAACCTGGTAACATCCCTGTAAGTAAATTAAAACATTCACATTTTAAATAAGATACTCTGTTTCAACAGTATAAACTTGAAGGGTATTAACCAGTGTAGTTGTGTCTTAAAATTCCCGCTAACTCATCAGACGCTGAACCTTGGCGCGATCATTTTCTTTTTAACTGTGAATGTCTTAAGTTATATTCAAACAATCGTTTAATTTGAATTCTAAACAGGATCAGATGGTTAAAAATAAAAAAAAAACAGCGCAGCTTATAACCGGTTAAATTTAAACTTTAATTTGGCCCTGTTTAATTATCTTCCAAGTTCAAATTCTTGATTAACGTTTGATATTTTAATGTTTTCGTTTTCTACGTTTTCGCTTTAACTCTGTCAGTGTAAAGGAGAAATTCAACGTTTCGAGCAAAGGCCATTCGTCAGGAGGTTAGTACCCTGCTAACTTTCTACTAACTTTGCTTATACCTAACTTTCCCATGAATGGTTCAAAACGTCGAATTTCTGCTTATATTTTTCAGGTTTATCCCTACCAACGAAAGCTTGTTATTATTGGCACTACTTGTACTGGCACTGAGTAGGCCAGGGTTTTTTTCAGGGTTTTTTTAGTGCCGTAAAACGGCCCCAAAAACTCAATCTTCGCACCAAAGTTTCAGTGCAGTAAAAATGAAGTTGTTTGAGTTAAATTCGTGACTTGTGGAAATTAGTTTTCAGTTGGAAACCCGACAATTAAGAAAAATGGCTGGAATTCATCTCACAACACAAGAAACACTACGCATTTGCCATCTTTAACCAGTTTATAGTGTCCCTTAGTGCCCCTGCTTTTATTAACACATTCAACCCCCCCCCCCCCGGG